TTTTGCACTTTCTACACGATGCGATTGGCTTAAAAGATTCGCGCCACCTTTTCATCCAATCAGAAGTAAAACCAAAGCCAATTGTGACGCGCTCGCATGCATTTTCCCGCGCTTTGCGTCAGCCACATGTAATTACTTCGAGTTTTGATTGGTTCAATGTATTGTCTGTGTCCTATGTGATTGGTCAGAGTAATTACTTTGGTTTTGGTTTTACGACACTCAAACGAAAACCACTCTAAACAGCATCAATGACGAAGCATTAAACATTCGATAGTCATGGCCTAATTGTTTTTCTGGTCTGTTTCACAAGTGTGAAAGCTAAATTTTGCACCATTTCTTTGTCTAAATAAGTAAGCTTACTTAGCAAATGTCATGCGTACATTTTTCTGACAATCGCTGGAATGGTCAATATGGTCATGGAATCTACTTCATTTTGGCCGCCATTAGACTGTTTACCTTGGCAAATACTAATAAAAAACAGTCATAAGCCTATGCGCTCCTGAAAATTGCAATTGTCCAGTAAACAAGATTTCAGCCGACGTCTGATCCAGAACAAAACCTATCTGGCTCTAAGTACTATATCAGGTTAAGAACCGAGAGGAAACGTGTGACAGTGATTGGAAACATGTCCAAGCTTCATCACTATTTTGATAAACGAGCTTGAGACATGTTCTATAGACAACCAAAGTAAATAATTCTTGCCGGCTGGTTAAGTGTACAGTCAAAATGAGATAGACAAAGATATCAAAGGCATTCATTATTTACTCTTACTAGACAATAGAGCCCAATCTTAACTGTCTTCAGTGAATAACAATGGTCGGTTCTGATCTGAATATGACGAAAAGCAAACAGGAGTTCAGACGGCAGTAAATACATAGTGTTGTACGTTTATTTAAGTGTATCTTTGATACCAAAAGAAACGTAACTTCAATACGTTTATTGAAATGCCTTTCTTACTGTACGACCTTGCTACCTTAAGATTCGACTGTTTTTTCCAGAGGGTCACCATTGATCAACTGATTAACCAGCACACGTTTTGTTCACCATCAGTTCATCTTTCATTGCATTTCTTTATCTTTCGCTACTTTGCATCGAGCTCAGTTGCAACCAAATGTTCCGCGTTTTTGTCCTATAGCAATTTCTGGTAGTATGGGCATTCCCCATAGTCTTGAATCGACATTGAATAATACCAAAAACATGGCAACAATACTGGGTGCAATGCTGTAGTGAACATCTGATTTGATGATAACCGTTAGCATGTGTATCACGTGTAACTGCATTTTTCGGCACGAGGCCGCGTGCTGCAAAACTACCATGACTTGTTGTAAGTTTTTTTTAAAAACGCGAGAGAAAAGCATCAATTATCTTTTTAAACACAAAGTTGGTCTCCGTATCATTTGTCTCATAAGACAACACCAATTAAGCGACAAGAGTAAGAAAAGGTATTTTCCGCGGATTACCTAAAGCCTCCTTGAACAATTTCCTGGTGTCTAACATCAAGATATAATAAAATCTCTTTAAGCTCTGTACTGTTCGCCCTTTCTTTCAAAAAGGGACCAAAGTAATTAACTCTTACTTGACTGACCGACTGTTTGCATAGCGAATTATTATGAGCAGACACAAGGTAGGGAGTCCAACATAATTATTTTGTACAAGAAAGTTTACCCATTCAAACCTGAATAAATTTTAAACGTCTGGAAAAGTTCTTTGTTGGTTAAAGACTTTTGTTTAATGTGAATTCCACTTTTTTATTCTCTCTAGTAAACAAAAGTTTCGACATTGAAAGATATTGTACTTCGAAGAAAAAACTAGAGCAAAGATTTTTCATTTGATAATTAGTCACACCATATCCATATAATTGTTTTCCAGATCTTCAATACGTTTTATTTACCTTAGTGAACATTAGGACCAATATAGTAAGGGGAGTGGAAAGAAAAGAACACTGTTGATCTCCAATGAATGAAATATTTTTCACGATTAATTAAACAAACTCTTAAAACCTCTAGCCCCAAATAAACTGCAGTTTCATGTCAAACCCATCACCGCGGTTCTACCAGGCCAAGTTTGTAACAGACACTAGCAAGACCGAGGTGATTAATTAAGAAAATAAGTTATGTGCAGTTGATTTTTTAGAGGCAAGAATAGTGTCGACACGAGCACTGGCAGATGCTGCGTTATCAACCTGGGCTCGACACAGATGTCAGTGTGTTAGGGCAAATATACATAATCATTTAACATAAGCAAATTTTGTCAACTTAACATTAGACCAAAAGCCGCCGTTCTTGGATTGAAGAAAGTCAGTTCTGAAAATTTCCATTAATGGCAACTGCTGCTAAGTGTTTGTATAATGTCAATAAAGTAAACAAACTTAGCACAGGCTAAAGGGTCTTTATTTCCCCTCAGTTACATACCATTTCGAATCAGTCACCACAACCTGGACTGGTTTTCAAATTAAAATAACAAAATTGTCAAACAAATGTTATCATTATCGGCCTCCAATACGTATCTCTAACCTCGAGCAACAAAAAAAAGACGGCTCAAACGTTTGGAAAACTATAGAGGTTATGACAAAAAAGGTGTCAGGAAAAAGGACCCGAACGTCAGGGCTTGAAGAGCCTTAGTTGGAATATAAACAATAAAGGGGTCACACAGAATTAATTATCACTTTTTATCAAAAAAAAAAAAAAAGTTTATCAGTGCCAAATTCTACAGCTCAAACTGAATTTGAGAAAACTTCCGATCAAGATGATCTTTCTTCTGTAGCTCCGCCTGCTTGGAATCACAAGCTGAGATCTTACTGTAGTTCTGCATGTTATCGTATATTGAACAAGTTCGGCAAACAGTCGTAGATTAAAGCCTTCGTATATTTTAAATTCAAATGAGTCACTGTAATTTTGTTGTTCATAGATAGTATAACATTTACATCTATGTATTGTTTCCGGTATTTCGCTCTAATCTATATTTTGCTCTCACATAATCGCCTAACTTTGGACATCTCAAACTAAATATCATGACCACATTCTATTGTGGAAAAAAAAATTCTGAGTCGCGTCCTAAATCAAAGAAATGTCATATGCAGTTTCTCTGAAAAGCACATTAGGTACTGTACACAGAACGTCATGTACTTAACTATTGAGGTGCACCCTGACAATAGATGCAACCTCATCGCTTTGTAAAATTTAAAACACTGGCTATTTCTTCAAATGAAGGTAGTTGGTCTTGGCTGCGAAACAAAATTTCCTTCGAGGCTGCTGTCATGATCAGATGTGAATTATTTTAGGTCAGCTTATGAATTGCAGCAAATGATGTTTATTGTTTTCCGTTTGCCACTACACTTAATGAATCGGATGAAATATATTTTCCGGTCCTTTGTTGTCAATCTTGAGGTCGTCCAATCTCCTTGCTTCCATTTTCTCTAAATCAAGGCATGGCCTCAAAATTTTTATTTTCTTTTTCAAACTCCCCCGGCACATTTTGTTCCTTTTCCTCCCAGTGTCGGCTTTGTCGACTTTTTCCTCAACTAAGCCGGCTGCTCGAAAATTAACCTCTGCACTATTCGAGTTTTCTTGCATTTCTTTGTCCATTTCAGGTGTTTTAGTGTTGCACAAAAACAGCTCTCGCAGCTCATCATCGCTCGAGCTTGACTGGTCAAATCCCTCCTCCACTCTGCCATATCGAGTGTTTAATGCATCCTTTTCATACTCCCTCCCATCTCTCTCAAGTTTCACCGCATGATTTCGCCTCAAATTTCGTTTGTTGCTAACAAATTTAACGATGCGAACTTCATTGACAAGCTTCGGTGTTTCTCTGAGAATGAGAGGCTGCAATTTACGGCTTACGATGTGTTGTTTGATCCCTTGAGCCCCTCGCTTATTATATTTGCTGTTGGTGGGTGTCCTATCAACGATGCCAAGCCAAGTATCGGCAAGGTGGGACGAAATTCTGACATCAGAAGCGCTGTTGTCTGGCGAAATCTGAGTGGAGACGAAGTTTTTTTCAGTTCGTTGAATTAAGTCTTCGTCAAGGCTATGTCGCCCCAATTGTTCAGTGAGGCTTTCGACGCGGGTTACGTCCGCTACAAGTGCAGCCATCGCTGTCTAGCTAAATTCACTTCGATCATGTAGTGTGGTTTAATCATCAAATTTTTGCGTGCGATGAGCGAGCCGAGACTGTGTCGATATAAAGCTGAGTTTAAAATAGTGTCCCGATGGGGAAGCAGAAAGCAAACTTCATGATGTTTTTGCATTGTCGATGTGACAATGATAGTATTTGCGTTTAATTCAAAAAGAGTGAAGCAATGAACAAAGCCATCGCTTTCTATTGGCTAAACGTATTTTCTCATCTCGTGTTTTAATTACACGCGAAATAATGAACATGAAATTTTAATGATCGAAATTTTGATTTCGCGAACAGTTTAAGAAGTGAAAAATATCTTTAATCATAACTGCTATGATGAGGTAACGGAAGACTCAGTTCGATAAATATCTCTTTTTATGCGAGGTAAATCTATATGTTTATAAAATCGCAATGTTGTTCGCTAAGTAACCTTGGAAGATCACTTTACTGCTTCATAGAGCCACCGCATTAACTGACAAGTTCGTAATTTTAGAGCTAAGGATTGCTTTTTAACTAAAAGAACTCTAAGAACTCTTTTTGTTAAGTCTAATAATACAATGCCCAAAACTATCCAGGAAGTAAATAAATGTCTTTCTGTGCGGACTTACCTTTTCGAAAAGAAAAGACAGACTGATATTGAATTTCGAAGTTACTTTCCGTTTCGATGTAATTTATTGCTGAAACATTGAAAAAACATAGACAGGAACGCAACTCATCAAGGTGCCTGGCTGACAGACATAATATAACGACTTCACTGCATTTTCGTGGTTTTATTCTTAGTTGGCCAAAACTAGTACAGAGATAAATCCGAACGCCTTAATTGGAGCTTTTTTTATAATATCCGTAACAGTCAGTTTTTGTTTAGTGTCTTAGAATTTTCTTGATCTTTTTTTTTCTTTTTAAGTACCAGAAAAAGAACCCCCCCCCCCCCCCAAAAAAAAAAAAATAAAAAAAAAAAATAAATAAAAAAAAAAAACTTTGTCCGCAAATATAAATTTTTGTCTTTTATTTTTTTGTGGTTTTTTTCTGATTTGCTGGGTACACTTTTTTTTTTTTTTTTTTTTTTTTTCTCTCTTCTTNTTTTTGCTTCCTTTCTAATTTCGTGCACCAGACTGCCAAAACAGTATTACAGAGAAAAATGGGTATCATTTATTTCATAAAGAACCAAAAGACTTTCAGCAATATGTAACTTCTAAAAAAGATATGTCTTATTGACTAAAATGTCAAATACAGTTTATTCTGTAAATGAGATTTCCTATACTAATAATATTTTCAATAATTGGTTGCTAAGTGTTTCTCCCAGGAATGGATGAACCTCGATGTTAGAAAAATGTCAGACCGTTCACAGGACTGATCTTTTTTTTGTAATTTTTGATTATTATCATCATTCTTATTGTTTCACTCCCTTTTTTATGGATCTCTTTTAAGAGTGTGTTGTAACAAGAAATTAGGGTACCGCTCGCATGATGCCTTCATGTCAGTATTCATACTGCAACTTAAATTGAACCGTAAAAGAGGTGCATGGGAATAAGACTTTGTCCTTGACAATAATAAATATCTAACCATGAAGGCATCCAGTTCTTTAGGGCCAAAATACAAAATGCATACCCTTTATCATTTTGGTGGAAATCTGTTTACCGAATTCCCAGTTTAATTCCGGTGTCAAAACACTTGTTCTGCGGAAACGCCCGAGCAATTAAAGCAATTTTTGTGTCACTAGACATACCCGATACACTCCCATATGACTAGCAACGGGGATGCTCGTCGGAAATTTTGAACTAAACCCCTAAAAGAGACGAATCTAGCCGTGGCCCAGCCTTTTTTTCGACCTCTAAAAGAGACAATTTAAACTTTGATTACATAAATCGAGTAAATAAAACGAATTGAACATATTAATATAATTTTTGGATCAATTTAGGTTTCCGGGAAACCGCCCACCTACCCCTTCCCTAAACTAACATTAACACTTAATTCCCACTTAAGGCAAAATGTTGGCTTAGGGGAGGGGTAGGTGGGCAGTTTCCTTGAAATCTAAATTGGTCCTAATTTTTTATATTTCTTCGCGTGCAACCCTAAAAGAGACCTTTACGGCTAAATATAACGGCGTTTTGCCCAGAACACCCTAAGTGAGACCAAAATCCGACATTTACACCCCTAAGCGAGACGGCGAGCATCCCCGCCCTTTTCATATGGCAGTCCCCCCCACCCCCTCGGGTTGTCATCCCTACTACCCATGGTATCGACATCACTTCCCTCTGGTTCTACTCTCTTCCAGCCTAAGTAAATGTAGCCGACCTTGACAAGGATAGCAAAAAAAATTCGATATGGCGATTTTTGTTTTCCGTTTTTTAACCTACCAAAAACGGGACATTTCACTTCCGGTGGGCTACAAACTGACCGCGCAAGTGAAACAGGAACGACTAAGAAAGAACCACGTCTGGATTGAATGGACATGTAAAGATCTATTAAAACAAACCAGGAAACGAAACAGGCAGAAAAAAGGAATCTGGTGGGCCTGGGCCTGGAGTAGTTACTGAAGTCATCAAAATAAAATGCCTGGTGTTAAAAAAACAAGCCGGTCTAATGGGTGATGCTGGCCAAATGGCATCCTCATGTTCAGAATATTCACTTCAAGATTATTCCTTGTTATCGATTACTTTTGATTCCTATCGATTGTTATCGATTTTGGTAATCCATAATAGTCGATAAATTATTTTTGCGGTGACTTCGATGTCTATCGATTTCCCATATCAATCGATATTAATCGGCGGATTAAATCGATTAATGTCGATGATATCGATTGATTTCCGATAACGGTTTTTACCGATTAACTACGTCTGGGGTGAAACCACTGACAAAAGTTAAAGTTCAACCTGGTTCGTCGAGTTCCGTGTGAACAGTGCGAAAATAATGAACGGTTCGATTCCGTGTGAATGAAGTATCCGTTCAATTTTAGCCATCTGTCCGAGGCGTTCAGACAGTAGCGTGAAAAACAAGAAACAAGCTAGGTATGTTTTTGCGGTCAGGGACTCGCGAGCCGCCGGGCGAATTGAGAAGGTTTGTTTTCAAACCGAAATAAAGGACACTTTGTTTAAATACATATTTTTTGTTTTATTTTTTTTACCGTCTTCATCGCCTTGCCTGAAGGATCAGTTTGCCGTTTATTTTTCTACAAGTTGTTATTGTACTGATCCAGGTCTACAACTGGGAGATCCGGCACCACTCATTGGTTTGTTGCTGTAGACTTGCTGGTATTTTATATATTTCGTTTTCAAGTCCCCTGCGAACCGCCGAGCCACTCGAAAGAATAAATATGAAATAGGGATACCCTGTTTTGTAGTTATGTGCTTATCTTACCCCAATGCACTAGTAATCCCATCGCATAATTGAAAATACGCTCACATGTGTCTAGCCTGCGAGCAAGCTCTCCTATTTAGGCAAGCGAAGCGAGCCTCGCGAGAACGCGCGAGCCAGGAGCCTCGCCCGCTCGCTCGCGCGTTCACGCGAGACTCGCTTTGCTCGCCCAAAGAGGAGACCTTGCTCGCAGGCTAACATGTGTCGTCCAGGCGGTCCATAGTCCAGAGTCTCAATAATCCAGTCGGGG